GGGGGGGGGGGCATTTCTAACTGGTTTGTTCTATAGTCGAAAGAGCGGAGGGCGTGGTTTTTGAAGCTGATTAAACTTGATTCAGAGTAAGCCCACACATCCTATGTGCAGATATGATCATAGCGGCGTTAGAAGTGATCCATGGGCTGAAGAACATTAGGACCAGGCGATGTACAATTTAGTGTTTTTGACCCTCCGAGGTGATTGAAAGCTTGGTTAGCATAGGTGGCTATCGGTCCAAGGTTTCTCCATAAAACCATTCGTGTTTGGCGGCACCATCTGGCTCTTCAACCTTCATGACTTTGTAATTGCTCTCTACAGCCCCTTGCAGCCCATGTTGTTTTTTTTTTTCATTAAAGCAAAAATAGTGATTTTCAGGTGGTCAGAGGGGCTAGAAAGCATTCCCAATTGGAGAAACAGCTGCAATTTAGCTGTAGTTTCACCCTGCATTTGTGACAAGGTATGATTCTCAGCAAGTTCCCGTTTAGTCTTTCCTTCCAGTTATTGGACCCTTTCTCTTACCTCCATTTCCAGCCGATTTCTCTCATTTGGTGTTGTTTACCTAACCCTTAGTTTATACTAGACCTAGTAACTCTAATGCCAACAGATGAATAGTGCTCTTGTGGCTGAAGCTGCACATCACTAGCAAGGCCGCGTGATCGAACCTCGCTGGTGCCGACTTGATCTCGATTTTCTTCTCATGGAAACAATATTGAATTCGAATTTCTCAGATTCCTAGAGGCTGATTCTATTAACCGAAATACTCTTTCCATCTGCAGTATGCAGAATATAAGGGGGAAAATAACACTGTGGAATTACTCTCTCCTCGAGCCTTTTTCATAAGGCGATAACAACAATTTTCATAGTACAGAAAGCTGATATTATACTTTATTCTTAGCAGCAGCAGCTTCAGGCTTTTCTTTTCCTCCGACGAGGACAATTGGTCCACCAAACTCTTGAACGGCTCCCCAAGCACTCGGCATAGCGTTCACAGTTTCCAAGTCATTTGCTTGTCGAAGGGGAGCTGAACAGACTTTGAGTACATCGATATTCGCAAATTCAAGCTGTATGATAAGTTATCCTATAAAGCCTCGACAAATCTCTCTTGATTTTAGTTCATTTTTCCCCTCATCCTATCCCTTCATGCCTATTTCTACCCCTTTATCCATGATCAATGTGGGACTATCTCTATAAATTAGGTTAGGTAACTTTCTGAAGGATGTGCCTTCTAGAACAAGTGTTGGACCGCTACACCAAACACCTTACTCTGTAACGAAACCTACGTTTGCCAGGTTCAACCGTAACCACTCGGGTCGCCCGGCTTATGCCGGGCCTCATTACTTTTTTCTTACCAAGTGGTTAGAAAATGTAGTTGGGGAGGGGCATCGCTCTTACCCAACATGGTGGGCTAGAGGGCACAGGAGGGTAGCCGTCCCAACCTCTACTTAGACATGGTTCTTGGCGAAAGAATATTGTTCAAAGCTAAGCCTCAGGAGGGAGAAGCGGCGGGGCAGTGGTGATAAGATTAACTCGTGCAAAATGCTAGGATGGCTCACTCACTTGAGTACCCCTTCCCTCCTGGAGCTCAGACCAAAAACTGTTTGTTCTCGCTAAGAAACGTCAACGAGCACAATTAAGGGCTAACCTCCTGATGTTGAAATTGTGTTGAAAAAAGCGGAGGTCATTGTCAGCAACCTTATCACCTCCGATTTCCGTAAAGATATATGTACATAACACGATGCCGGTAAAGATCACAGTTTTGAGGTACCCACTTCACTCCGCAGTACCCACTCTACTCCATCAACCTACTCATCAAGTTAGTGCCTTATATATAAGAAGGGAGTATAGAATACAGCTAAGTTTTGCATATCACTACCTTTATCGCTATCACAAAGTTTTGCGGATGGACACACCGACAAACATACACGCCAACTCACTGCTTTATAAACAAGAGAGACAAGAGAGATTTGCTTCCCACCAAACTGCGGATAAGAAAAGTGGATAGCAGTGAACCCTTCTCATTCTTATACTAAGAACCTCTGTTATAAAATGAAGATTCTACAGCCTCACCTGGAGGAGGACCCTTCAATGAGGTCACTTGGCTTGTTGCATCTACTTGCGTAGATTTCGACTTTGTCTTCGTCTTCGACTTCGACTTTCTACGAGTCTTGACATTCCTCTTTACAGGCTTTTTCTTACTAGGTTTTTTCTTGTCACCCGGAGCCCTCTCCTCAGGTGGGAACGTTGATGGATCGTCGGGATCGTATTTGAGTGGAGAAATCGGCTGAAATGCTCTACTTGTTTTCTCAAGCAGCTTGAAAAACGTGCTAACCAACCAATCTTCTACTAGCGAAACAAGTTGCGAAGAGATATGTAACCATGAGGAGTAAGGAAATTCCGAGTATGGTCCCATGCAACAGATTAATCATTAAGAGTGAATACCGTGTCTAAAAGAGGGAGTTCAGACGAGAAGTCCTTCGACACATACGAGATCAAGTAGCTCACCAAGATTTCTTGTTAGTAGTGAACCAAACTGGGGAGGAGTACTAGAAAGAATGAGCTCCACCGTATACTGAGAATGAGGCTAGTCAGAAACTGATGATATTCGGTGATAATGATGTTGAAAAGTTTACTGTACTGTTAAAATTGATACTTCCATTGCACACAGGCTCCTTTTGCCCTTCAGAATCTTCTTCTGAGGGTATCCATAAGAATTGTAACCACAGAACTATAAACAACGACAACATGCACACCGATTCGTAATTATATCAGTGCACGGAATTGTTTCTCTTCTTCCTCCCTCTAGCATTAATCCCGCTCCGTCGCGAGATGTTTTCAAGTGATGTCGCCAGTTCTTTCCGACTACGGCATCCTCTGCCTTTACCTTGGTTTCAAGGAGGCCCGGCTTGACCACATAACTCAACCTCTTTACGGAGGCTCCGCGTGCTCGCTTTTCTTCAGCATCGAACTTTACTGCCTTTCTTCGGAGATTTCCTCCTACAGTAAGATGCATGGCTAACTAAAACGAGTGAGTCGTTCCATTTCTCGTCAAAACCGTTGGCTAACATCCGTTTGCGTGCTCTGTATCAAATCTTCAGGATGTACTAGACAACCGTCCTTCTGCTTGTAGTTTACTTTGAAAGTACTCTGCTGATTACTGGATCTGTCACAGTTCCTTGTAAGCAAGGGTGTTTTCCATAGAAAACGCCTTATGCTCAAGTACTGAAGGCTACTTCATATTCCTTATACTTACCTCCACCGTGTGTTCCAACTCATTCATTATTTGACTACCTTATTTCTTGAACTCTCTACGATGCACAAGGAAGATAGGATCATGCATGTGAACCACTTTTCTGGACACTCCGAATGCGACCTCTTCTCAGGAGCCCTAAAGACTCAGGACTGTTGCTGCATCGTTTCGGAACAGATCTTAATCGTATTTGAGCTTGCGAAACGGCAACCTACGAAACAGCCTCTTCTTAGTGCCGTATCACCAAAAATATATCAGCCTGCTTTCCTTGGATTCATCAGAACAGGCCTCAATTTGATGATTAGAAAAGTGCATAATAGATCTTAAGCGAATCGAGTAATGCTGTTGATATAATGAAAGTAGGAAGTGGGGAGGTTAAGGTGACAGAAAGTCGAGTCACCTCCGGCCGGTTTCCGATCCATAGACAGCATTATCGCGAGCAACAGATGTCTCGAATGCTCTGCTAGCAGAAGCCATTTTGGTAGATTACTTGATTAAGACCCTAGTTTTCTGCTCCTAACCGACAGCAAAATTTGTTACTCGTAGTAAACCATTACAAATTTCAAAATATGCCTGAAAAGTGATTCCTTGTTCTGTTACGTTATGAACGTTTTATATGAAAAACAAAATCTATTTATTCCGAAAAATGGTGCGAGCATGGCAGAATCGGAAAAGCGGAAGATCTGCTGTCATTAAAGAACTAGTTCTTGTGATTTCTCAGCGAAATCGTTAAAACCGTTATTAAAGAACTCCCTGTACGCGTTCGCAGGTGTTGCGGGAGTTTATGAGACTCATTAGTGGGTTGAAATTTATCTATCAAAAACCAGCGTGCCATCGCACTGCGACAACACTAAGTAAACTACGAAAATAGGAACAGAGCCTGAATGAGAGTAATTTTTTAGCAATCTGACGATGTTATGGTTCTAGAGAAGGTGGAACACACGTTTTATGTTATCCCTTGAGCCTGGTAACTGACCATCTACTAATTACTTATCAGATAGCGGCTTACGCTTTTCCGACGATATATAATGAATCAAGAACTAGTGCTTCGCTTATTGCATAGTAAATAAACCTAACTAAAAGGAACTACAACAAAAATTCATGACGTAAAAAGAAATTTGAAAACATCAGTCGTTTAACTATTATTAAAGACGCTTCACATATCCTGCAATTATATTAGAAATAATGTGCAGACTAAAAAATGAGATTTGTGAAAAACCATAACTTGTCACGTAGCTTTGAATACAGAACAAACTTACAAGTACTGTTTCACCGCCTTGAGATAAGCTATCTCAAAACAGATGAACGACCGACAAGCACAACAAGGATTTGATACTTCATAAACAACAGCTGTAACAGCGAAACGCTTACATATTCAACACTTCAACGCAACATCACATCCAATTCACCGTATTCTTAGCTTATACGTGCACTAAAGCCAAATGAGCGAGCGATAGATTGAAGGTAGTAACGAGTTAAGCCATTGCGAGTCTCTTCTGACATATGAGATGGTACTCCTTCGGCTGTGACAATTAACGATGTGGAGTCACTCTGTAAATAGTTATGCCGACCATTTCGAAGACTTAAGAATGCGTAAAAAAACTACCTCATCTTTCAGAGTAAATTTGATCTTGGCATGATGATCATTAGGATACGATTTCAGCCTCCACAACATACTAATTTCTTCGTTTTTCTTCTGGAAAACAAATGAATGTTTATGAATTTTTTTACAACTTTATTCAAAGAATTCATATGTAATAGTAGAGAATAATACAACAGCACTCACAATTTCTTCGAATGTTCCTGTGACAGTGCCACCGAAAAGAACAAACTTTCCGCCCTGCTTGAAGTCCCACTCTACATTACCATTCGCCCAGATCCGAACCAACTGAAACAATGCACTGGTCCAACAGAAGCCCGTCATAGATGCACAACAAACCAAGGACAAAATAATTCCAAAGGCTTCTTCTTGAGCAGTAACGAAACTCACATTAGGTTCACTTAAAACTTCGAAAAGACGATCAGGAGGTACTTTGAAGGACTCGCTAATCTCCACAGATTTCACGTCGAATTTTTCAACTTAAAAACCCAAGTGCTCATTTCAGCAGTATAAGTAAAATGAGAACTGATGTACCTGTTTTAGGAGCATTGCTTTTATTATCTGTAATGACCTGAAATGAAAGAAGAATAATAAAAGAAAAAAATAACATGATGACTAGTCATGTAATCATCACACTTCACATCATCTCACCATATTCTGAAAGCTCTTCTTATCCACGACTGCAGTTTTCCCTTTTGTTACAACCTGAAAACAAACAGCGTTATTTATCTATGCCACAGCTTAGTTTCCCGTGCTCTCACATGGATTATTGAAATCACACATCATTCTACAGGAAATCGCCTTATCGCTATAGCCACCATCACCCATTTTTGTTATAGCTGGTGAACAATAACACGTGAACACGCAGAACGAAACATAAAAAAGGTTGGGGGAAACCTCCTTAACAAAAACCAACAACCACTATGCAACTCGAACCTACGCAATTTCACAAACTAAATAGCAAATGGAAAGCCTGATTTTTTGGGCAGTAGGATTTTGTTTTAATAATAGGATCCTCATGCAACCGCTGCAAAGAACCTTGGCCACAGACTTCAGAAACATTTCTCAAACTCTGACCTGAGGTTTGACCTTGTCCGTTGGGAGGATGAGTCCTTTGCTGAATTCTTCTTTAAGCTCGCGAATATACACGTCCAGTTGCTCCTAAATATATATCAAAATGAACTTTTAGACAATGTGACAGATAACTTCACAAGAAAAAGGAAATGAAATGTAGGGACCCTGATCTTGTTGGTTCCAGCTTTGCTCAATAAATCCCTTATTGTAGCTTCATGAGGACCTTTGGTGTCAACAGATATGTTTACCTGAAAGAACGCAATATGCAGATCTGAATACCAGAAAAGCTCCACAATTTTGAAGGTACTGAGGAAAAAGTCAATTTTGATTCCCATAATACGTTGGCGAAACCAATATTCTTCGAGTAGAGGCCCAATTTCGTTGTAACGAATGCCGGTACACCCCTTCAATTCCACTGTAGTAGGTTGGAAAAGATGTTAAGAATGCAAATAGGCATGATGTCGAAGTCATAAAATCCCTTCATTGCGACTGTTGCTTCGAAGCACCTGTTCTCGCAATGAAAAGAACGTAAAGGGACATGAACAACATCAAGAACATTTTGTGGAGATCACCGCCTCCATTCGCCCTCATCCCGTTTCTTTCGGAATCAAAACAAACGAAACGCATTTAGATTTGGAACAGATGCTAATTTTTAAAGAAATGGGCTACAAGACGCAATCGGACAATGAAATAGTAATAACTGCAAAAATATTCAAACCCACATCAATTTCATTAGCGTCATTTTCATCACTGAGATTTGGTATTTCCAAAGTTCCTTTATATTCAGTGTCTGAACCCGATACACGTCCTGTAATGTTCTTAATATAATATTATGGTGGACGATATGGTTAACATTTTCGGTAACTTTTAGTAGTTCTGAAAGGGGCTTACGAAAAATGAATGTTCATTTCCAACGACATTCCAACAACAGGAGCAGTTGACAGCTCCAATTACAAATTCTCATCCATTATTGGCGTCGACTTTTTCGTGATTGCATCACAACACTTCCCTTCAAACTTATTTGGAAAAATATATAGGGGATATGCAGTGCCGCAATGGCGGCTACTACACATACTTTTTCAGCCCAATTAATAAGTAGCACACTCCAAAGCAAGGTTTGAACTATTAAGGTGGAGTAACCTAACCCGGCCTAAGATCAGCAGCTCCGGCACATATATATGTGGTCGTGATCATCAAATCACTATAGCAAAAACTTGAAAAACGGATTTCTCCACTTAAAATGCGACAACCAAATGATACCCAGACTTTACCTAATGTGCAAGCTAGTGAACATAGGTACTGCTTGCTGAAGCCATGAAGGGACGCTGCTGCCCACGCACGCGGAAGCAAGCCACCGCACTGCAGCATAGTCGAGGCGCCTGGAGAGCGCGCCGACCCTTTTGGTCTTTTATGCAGTACCCACGCTGTCAGAGCAAGATGAAACGTATAATTTCAAAAGCTTACCGATGAACCCGATTTTGATTTCCCATTCATACAAAAATATAAGTTTCGCTTTACGATTATTAGCAGTAGCTTCCCCTTCGAGTGTTTTTATAGTTTCCAGTTTCACACAAGCCGGACCTTCCTGAAAAAGAGCAAATTCCAAAAAGCTTGGTATTCGGAAAACAACAACAATCATATGCTTGAACGGACTTACCTCTATGGTGAGACCTTCTAGGAGATCAGTAAGACGAGTTTTGGACCAAGGGGTCGCATTCTTCTCGGACCTTAAACTCACTGAAGCGTATAAGAGCCAAGTTGAAAAACAAGGATACACAGGATTTTTGTGTGAAATTGAGGTGCAACTTGTTGTAAGGTTCAGCTAGAAAATAGAGATGGTAACTATAAATTTTAACATCTACCATTTCAAAAAAATTTTCGGTGTTTCATTGCAGAGTGCTAGCACTCAACAACTGCATGAGCACATATTTAGTAATGATTTTTCCAGAAACCTGGAATACTTCAGTACGTCTACCAGTGAGCTCTTGGAAGACAAGTATTTATTGAATTTCACGCCGGTACGGACGAATACAAAGACATCTTACCATTGCCCTTAACTCCCTCAGTAAACATCATTTTGCTGTTCTTATAGACTTTTTGGAGCCTGCACTTTCGATTTTTCCATTCAGAGCGCGAACGTTGTTTGGTGAGGATTTCGTTTGTCGTAAAAATTTTCTCGTCCAAGAAAACGATGAAGGGATGTGTATTTCACTTCGAGGGAGGACCTTTCTACATACTCCAGGCTCGCTTGTGCTTGACCCTGCTTTTCTGTATCGTCTAATAGCCTTCTGTACGGTCGTTATGGGAAGAAGTAGAAATTTCACTATGCCCTTCGGCCTCTTACAAAAGAATGATTGCAAGTGACATTGAATAAGCCTTCACCATTCAAAAGATATCGGGAGTCTAAGTTTAATACTACGCAAATTGCAAGAAAAACTCATTTGCCCCCAATTAATGGCCAATGAAATGAAATTAATAATTATTTCTGCCTACGAAGTTTCCGAACTTTGCACATATAATTTTGAAACATTCTGCATGTCGCCCCGACTCAATATTCACGCACAAGCGGATGAACTAATTACTGGATCCTAGTCATCCTTGAGACGTCAAATCAATTGAATACACAGGTGGAACAATACTTCTACTTGTGAACGAAGTGCCTTATATTTTTCCTCTTAACATTATTGCACCTCATTATAAGAAATCTCAACAATCAAATTGAAATCAGCTGATGATGTGCTTACCAGTGCCAATTGTTCACATTCGTAGCATCAGCACGTTCTTCAACGATCCATCGTGGATCACCTTCACCCCACTTTGCCATGCTCGCCCACAGAAAGTGAAGCTACAATTGTGAAACATGTTTGAGTGAGGTCAAAGCAATCAAAAAGAAAACTTCTAAGCACGAATTACGAAATACTCGCGCCCAACCAGGCTGAAAAATCATTACACTCCGCAAGTAAACAGGTTTCCCACGATATTAGGCCACTATCCGACTTATACATAGCCCATCGAAGATAAACAGAGCGAAATCTTAAGGATAAACAAATGGATTATCCTGACAAATGTAAATGACACGACCAAGATGTTCAACAACCGCAGCTTCAAATAGTCGAAGGGAATTTTCGCGAAAATTTTCGTAGTTGTGCATAAGGGTGCAATTGCGTCCATTCAACAATATAGGCGTCGATAGCTGCTGCGAATTCTTGGGATGGTCGTGAGGAAGAAAGTTCTTGTTGGGGGATTTATTTAACCCCTCGGGAAAAGAACTCAGAACCCCATCCATTCAATTCATGGGTTTGGGAGGCATACCCTATCTATCAAAATGTTGATTCCTCCTTCCTTCATGTTTGTTCAAAGGTTGGTGATCCAATCCCATTTCATCGGTCACCAATAACGAGAAAAATTTACCTTTTATTCATGTATTACAGTCCTAACTGAGAAGACCTGTATGACCCATAACATCCCATGGGACATCGATATTGGAGGTGGAGTAGGAGTAAGGGCTTGTGGCGCACTATCTCAGACGCACGGTCCCGGTTTTGAAGCGCGAATCGACGACTACCTAGGCCAACCAAGCCTTCCATTCGTCCGGGGTCGGTTAATTGTTACCACATTTTTCTGGGAGGATAAAAGCACCGACCTGAACAACAAGTCATTGTATCGGCCTCAAATGCACGCGAAAATTTCACTACGATCCTAAATGCGGAGCCTATAATGAGGAGGGGATTCATTGACGCCAAGTATCTACAGTCCTCTATATCAACATCCAATCAGTAACTAAATGTGAAATTGAAAGCTGAAGTGCATTCACTCGAAAGAATGCTCAATTATCATTACTAGTGTGAATTACTATTCCCATTCAGAGGCTAAATTTTAAAGTCCTAAGGCGTTAATCAATCCCGTCTGAGGGATGATCCCCTCCCGACGAGTTTGGTACCAATTAGCCGACTCCGGAGGGATAGATGGCTTGATTGGCCTAGGCTAGTACCGATCTCGGATTCGAACACGTGACCGTGCGTGTAAGATAGTGTGCCACTTGCCACTGCACCACTTCTGCCCTAAGCTTCACAGACTGAAATTAAAAGTTCGAAGATGGACCTCGACCTGGTCAACCCAAAGTGATATCATGAAATCTGATATGTTATGCGCATACGAGTGAGTATTGTATTTTTATTGGTTTTCTAAACCATTGTGATTTTTTCGGCAGATGATATCCATATAACCTGCCGTTCCTAATCTGACAAAAAAATATTACGTTGAAATTGTCATACTACGACCGAAGTTGGCAGAAAACACAGAGAAACGTAAAATGAATTCCGTGAATATCAGGTTTTTTCTTTGCGTTACGATTTTCTTTGCGATTCCCAAATTTCCGGCACTTTAAGCCACTAACCACTTCGCATCCAAGGAGGAAGTCGTTAATTTCAGGACACATAACTTTCCAGGCATTATAGGATATGGGAAAATTGGACCGACAGAGTTTTCTGTTATTAGGGGGTATTTTCAGTCTCGTCTGGGAGAAGAATAGCATTGCACTATGCCCAATACGCTTTTGAACCACTACGATTCTCAATGGAATTCAAATGCACGGGCGCATCACAAAAAGGGATCGCTCAAGGAAAACCCGGCTATAAGTGTTACTGCTACAAAAGGTAGAACTTGTTAACAACCAGAATTTTCTCTGCGATGGGCCACGGATAACAGTAGAAGGCTAATCTGGCATCAGCCAATCCATCTTGGAATGGGCCTGCGCATACGATTTTGATTCAGAACCGTAGTGACGTTCGAACGGTGCAAAGGGTCAGTCGAGTTAGATTTTACTTTAGGAGATGTTCCTTTTACTTCTAGCATCATCTGTGGGAAACTATCAAAAATCACACATCGAATGACAGCTAATCAGACAAATTTTTGACCATTGGAGATTAACAGCTGTCGTGAGTCATCGAAAAGAAATTGAATTGAAGGGGAGTCACTTCCCCAAGCCGATAAATCTGCCTGTTTCCCTTTCATTTGAATTCTGAAGAGGGTTTAGTCCAGAACTGCAACTGAGCAAATCAAATCTTGCGGACAACATGTCTTTCAACGTGAGCGATTTCTGCTCTTGTGACAGTTGTCGCTCGATAGAGCTGCATTCCGTCTCTTGCAATACACTACGTTATCCGTTCTATCGCTTGCGGTTTTTATGAACTTGCAGTGCAGAAAATCCGTTCGTTTCATTTGATTCTTTCTAACAACTTGCTTGATTGTTGAATTTGTCATTGATGTTATCTAGAAAGAGGCGGGTGAACTCCCACACCAGACATTTCACGTGAGCTTTGATGCTTGACCCAAATAAACAACAAAATGTTTCTAATTCTGGAATTTGATTTGTGATGACAAATCCGTTAATTCGGACATGAATCGAGGCTGAGGACAATTTCAGAAATCTCAGGCAATGACCCTGGGCCATTTTTCAAGGAATATATCGACATTTATTAGGGCTGGTTCTAGGAATAGTTGGTCCATTAGAACCGAAAAATCGTGCAAATTCAGATTTTTTATCATTACCCAGTATTTACTCCGACTAAAGGTGAATTAGCTCATATTAACTGGTAATATTAATACATAGCAAATCGAGGTGGGATTACGGTACGAGTTTGAAACTGTACTGACCGTACTCTGAGCTTTCATTGGACCAGTCTGAGACAGTATTTTGTTATGACATATATCGGCTATTGTCAGGTCACAAGGTGTTTTCTTGGTTCATATTTTGCGGATTTTCTCGTTGACTTTCATGCTTTGAACGAATAATTACGCCACCAATCTTGGAATTTGTTTTTTAATGGCGAATTCTTTTTTTTTTTTGTTCTTGAATCT